GCTCTGTACACGGTCTGCCTTGAAATTGTCGTACCAGTGGCTGAAGAGAGCTGACGAGACAGGTCGGAGGCTGTGCTCCGCCTGTTTCTTTTGGAAGTAACTGCGAAATACCGGTCCTCATTCGGCGTAGTAACTCTGGGGCGACCTGTGCTGTAACGTCTACTCACATTACTAAACATCTTGGAATCGTTGCCAAAGCCTGGAGATGACACTCTGGGCAGTTCCAAGTTCGTCTGATACTTCCAGTTGGGTACACACACATTCCAGACGGCCGATAATTCTACCACGTAAAAAATTATCCAAATGCGTCCTTTGTGTCATAACTATTCGGTTATTGTACTGAAATGCTTATAAAGCGCCTTCGAACACATTTTACTTCTTTGCCTGTATTCCTTATATATCACTCTCTTATACTCTCGTCATTGTGACGTACCATCGGTGTCATCTGGTTACTTCCTGAAATGTGCATATGATTCTTGAAGATGTGTTGTAGTGATTTTACAGGTGATATATTTATTTTAGAGTTCGATTTCCGCGTGACTCCGAATTATCCTTAATTTATGGACATGACTGTATTTGCAATTCATTTTTTATTCATAGGCTTATGACGTTTTCCAAGATTTGAACATCTTAAAAAATATAAGTTAAAAATATTCTTTCGTGTACGTATTTCATCAATTTATCTTTCATGTATAAAAATGTAAAAAGTATTCTAAAAGCGAAGGAAAAAGATAAAAAAATCGTTTCATGTATTAGCAAAATTAATTTTCAGATAAAAGAGATAAAATAGTACAAAAAAGTTCTAAAAATAAAAGAAAAAAGATTCTTTCCTGTATTAGTGAAATTAATTTGAAGTTAAGAAAGTAAAAAGTATTCTAAAAATAAAAGTAAAAAAATGAAAATATTCTTTCATAAAAATGTAAAAAATATTCTAAAAGAAAAGTTAAAAGCTACAAACATTCTTTCATGTATAAGGTATTTCTCTCGCCTTCTTGGCATGCCTTCGGGGTGTGGTGATCTGCCCTCTGGGCGCGTATTCCAGACGTCCGTGGTTCGATTCCCGGCGAAGGCGTTGCTCATTTTTCATCTTGCCTGCTCCAAAAAATTCTGATGTCTCTACAGTGGCGCCCTAACTAAAAGGGTGTTAGATGATGATTCTCCACACCCAGGACATGGTGATTGGCTTCCTTAAAACCCCAGTCGCCCTTTAAAAGGAGGAGTATATAAGGTATTTCTCCCGCCTTCTTAGCATGCCTTCGTGGTGTGGTTGTCTACCCGCTGGGCACGTATTCAAGAGGTCCGTGGTTCGATTCCCGGCGAAGGTGTTGGATATTTTTCATCTTGCCTGCTTCCAAAAAAGTAGCTAATCTCTCTACACATGTATTAGTAAAATTAATTTTAAGAAACTAAAAATAAAAGATCAAAGTATTCTTTCACGTATTACTAAAAGTAACTTTGAGGAATATCTAATGCAGTGAAAAACCAGAATAAAAAATCATCAATACTGTCTTTACTGCAAGTATCTCAAAGCAAAACAAATTTTGCTTACCTTCGCAAATGATTACCGGTTTGGATTACGTGTAAAAGTTAAATCAAATTATTATTCTGTCATTAGGACGTTATATACAAAATTAGAAATATCGTATATTAATAGTAATAATGGGTAAAATGCCCATAGAAATTATCGGTTTGATTTCGGAGCATGAAACATGAAAAAAATCAAGGATGTCTTCGCCGGGATTCGAACAACAGATCACTGGATTGCTAGCCGAACGTGCTCATAATGACACTGGAAAGGTTTGCGGTAAGTAGGAGGGAAATTCTTTACAATCTCCCACCACCACCACCACCTAAAGGACGATTGGTAAGGAGTGGATCCTGTCGCCAAATCCAGGTGGTGACGAATGATCATCCACCACATTTTAGTTCGGGCGCCACTTGTAGAGACATTAGGTTTGCTGAAGTACGAAATATGAACAAACAGCGAGGGCTTCACTGGAGTTCGTCACCAATAGAACGTGTTTCCAGCCACACCGCGAAGTGCGTAGTAAGGACTAAGAAAATTGCTTACAATATTTAACTTTATTAATGCATTTTAAATTATATATGTTAAGTGTAGCATTAAAAAATAATGATTATAAATTAATAAGAAGCATACATTTATTTTTTTAACTTCCCAGTATATTAATCAGCAATTTGACAAATAAATTAAAGATCTTACGCTACAAAGAAGAAGGATGACACTCTGAGAACCACCTACTAGGATCTCGAGATATTAAATCATCTCTTGAAATGAAAAACACTTAACAAGTCGTGTGCATTTCAGATAGCGTAACCTAATGGTCCACAAATACTCACAAAGCCTCCACTATAAGTAAATCTAGCAAGACCAAAGTAAAATATTTCTCCTAAAAGATATATTTCAATTTGAACTCTAAGGTATTTTTCCCTCCTTTCCGCACGCCTTCGTGGTATAACGGTGGCACATGGGGCGCGTATTCGAGAGGTCCAGATTCGATTTCCGGAGAAAACAATTGCACATTTTTCGTGTTTCTTGCATTAAAAAATCCTAATTGCTCTACATTGGCACCCGAATTAAAAGGTGGTGGATGATGATTCTTCACCACCAGGATTTGCCGATTGAGTCCCCTAATCCCCAGTCGCCTTTAAACGGGAAATATATAAGATATTTTCTCCCTCCTTTCTGCATGCCATCGCAGTGCAACGGTGGCATACTCTGCGCGTACTCGAGAAGTCCAGATTCGAGGTCCCCGCTAAGGCATTGCACATTCATTCACTTCTCTCCTGCTTCAAAAAATAACCTAATGACTCTAGAGGACAAAGACTTAATAACTTTTACTTAACGCAGTGTGGAATAAAAGTCCTGACAGGAGACTCCTGTATCAATAATTTTCCTCAAACTGTACAAGAAATCCATTTGTACCACATGAACTGACAGAAGTATAAAACTGAATCTCTTGCAAATTTTCAGCTTGAAGCCATTATGTTCTCTTCTCCCAACTTTGGTTACTCAACTTTGGTTCCCAAATTTGGTTTCACAATGAAACTCGAGTGATTCGTACTTGACAATGCGATCTGTTTATAGCTAGTTAAACCGGCAGATGGCTGCAGGTTTTAGACTAACTGGAATTGCCTTAACTAAATTCGATGAAATGGTAATCAAAATCTAAGCCAGATTAAAGGTGCCTTTTTGCCTTACACTATGGTGTTTCTCTTCCATTGGGTTCATCTTTAACTGAGACATGAACATTTCGAGGATTCGCATTCTTCATGCGCTCATTCACATGGTTCAGTTAATTTTACTCACTAAATCATACCGGGTTGGATAATTTCTACTGATGCAAGATGTTTGAATGACAAGATCTCAGTGACCTGACCTGCTGACATTTGCCCTCTAGTGAGTACATCTAACCTGGTGCATTTCGTATCCCAATTTTATAAAGAACTCCCTAGGGTACGAATCTGAGAAAATTTCCGATAACTCTTTCCCTACCACAGGGTCTCTCGAGAAGATTTTTGACTCGCCAGTAGTTCAAATGTACGTCCATTCCACATAGACACTTCAGACTTCTAAATATCCAAGCATTTTTGAAGAATCAGTCCTCTCGAAAACACTTTCGACTCGCTAGTATATTAAGCCCCCCCCCCATTCCGGGCAGACATTCTACGCGAGAGCTTTAATGTGACTAAATATGTTTTGGTACCCGCAGCGGTTGAGTCCCAGTTTAAAGTCCCACCAATAAGTGCAACCAAGATCTTGCCACTTCTTTTCCACTATCACTAAGCCTCTCAAGCGAACTTTCAGTTACCCAGTATTAGAAGTATTTTCATTCGGCATAGATACTATAACACTGTGGCGTTCAGCCTTTTATCTAGCAACTAAACGTGGAGGAACCTAGTGAACATCAAAGCGAATAATCGCTTTAGTTCAAGAACTGAAACGTAAACTCGAGAAGGGTTAATTACCCTTTATTGCTCAAAATAAAAGTTAACAGATGGCCCCTTTCTCAGGGCATACAACAAAGCCTCCACTTGGGCTTGAAATCAAAATAAGAAATAAGACTTAACTAAAGCTTAACTAAAAAGATATACCCGAAGCTATCAAAATTCTAAGTAGTTGGCCCCTAAATATCGAATTAGCTTGTTATTAGGTGTTATTTTGATGCGGGAGATTTGAATAATGAGCAATGTTCTCCCCGGAACTCGAACCACTGACCTCTCAAATATGCCTCGAGCATGCTGACCACTACACCACAAAGGCATGCTAAAAAGACAGGACAAATCCCTTATAAGCTAGCGAAGCTGTCAAGGGCCTGTACAGCCGAGCGTAGTAACAGCTTAGAGCAGCGGTTCTCAATCTTTTGACTAATATGTACCATCTAAACAAAAAATGAAAACCTTTAGTACCACAACTACAAAGTACTACTACCACCATCACACTTGAACAAAGCTCAAATCGCATAAATTTACGAGTGTTAGAGGAAAAACTCAATCAGGATGTTGGGGTTTTAAGTTTTGAATTGAATAGTTCAAAATACTTTGCTTCTTTGCGTACCACCTATTTTTCTCTTGCGGACCACCAGTAGTACGCGTACCACCGGTTGAGAACCCCCGGCTTAGAGAGTCGTGGCCAAAAGACAAGCGCGCACTAGTCAGAAACTCTGAAGCTCTCTCTCAGTGAAACTTCGATTTAAATACATTTGCATTAAAAGCGATTCTAAAAACACTTTTTGATAGGAAATTGTAAGCTGAAATTAGGATAGACAGGTAAGTAGCTTTAACTAAAAATAACTTATTAAAAACTTAGGATAAACCTCACAACACTTACAAACATCCAAGTTTTCTCCGAGATTCGAACCTGCGCCCAATAATACGACGCCTACTAGTGCTATTATGGTGGTACCGATCACGGCGGCTTAATGTTGAAATGTATGAAAGATATGTAGTAAGAGAAAATTTATCTCCATTCATGTGCTTACCAGGTCTTTATAGATCCACTTTCCATAACCAGTGGGCACTGTCCGAGTTTTATGGAAGCCTTAAATGCTTGCCTGTAAGTTTTGCCTGGCAGAGAGACGATCCGTCCAACCACAGTTGCAGGCTGGGATTCCATTTTAGGAAACATTTCGTACGTCTCATTCCGGCTACAAAATGAAATAATTGAATAATATAAATATCAGCAAAACTTTATATCCTTTTGCACAAGTCCAGTTATAAATTGAAACTTTTTTTTTTCTTTTTTTGCTTAAAATAAGGTGAGGAAAGATGAGTACTAAATAAATTAATTAAAAGCTTTGAAAATTGCAAGGATTTGGTTTGGTTTTGGTTTATTAGATTGCGGCAAAGCACTCGAGGGCTATTTGCCTTCGTGGAGGACTTTTTAAGGGAAACTGGCTCGTATACACATGGGGAAAACCACGAAAACACCGATGCAGCCAGCCCGTTCGCGGGATTCGAACCTCGGACCGAAATACCAGTGTTCAGCGACGTTACCGTTCGGCCACTGGTGGGCTGCAAGGATTTGAAAACTGCAAGTTTTTATCTAACTATTTTTTTTATGTTAAACAGCTCACCAGCGGCCGAGCGATAAAGTCGCTGAACACTGGTAGTTCGATCCGAGGTTCGAATCTCGCGAACGGTTTGGCTGCATGTGCGTTTTCGCGGTTTTCCCCATGTGTAACGTGTATAGAGCCAATTTCCCTTAGAAAGTCCTCCACGAAGGCATCCCTCCCCTTAGGCAGATAGACCTCGAGGCTTAGCCATAATCACACACACACACTTTTATGTTAAATAACTATACTTGAAAATATAACGCTGATTTTTGTTGTTTGACTTCTAAATTAATATTTGTTCGGCGTGTTATTGTATCTTTACTGTCATTCTCTTTTTCCGTTATTCTGCCGGAATGCTAATTTTTAGTTCTCGCTTATTCAAATGAGTTAGAAAAAGATAGTATTTAAAGGAAAGTTTTCAGATTGTTTAATCAGAGTGTGTTCCGCCTGCTGAAGGCCCCATTACTAGTTGCAGTATACGCATTTTAAATTTGTTAAAATATTAATAAATTTAATTATCAAGAATTAGCGCTAATACTATTTCAGCAAATGTACAGGAGTATTTTAGCGTTGCTATATATAGAAATCTAATAATATTTTTAAAATATACGGAATTAAATTGTTAATATAGAATTACTAATACAGAGAGCAGTACGAAATACATTAACACAATTATTAACATACATTTTGTCTTTTAAATATCCTCATAAAAAGAGGATTCTGCTCTGCCATTGGCCGCAAAAAGTTTTGAATCATTGTTCTGTAAGAAGCTCCGGAAATCGTTTCCGGTGTTCCATCCTCATTCTCGAAGAAGTATGAGCCGGTAACTCTATTGGCCATAACACCGCATCAAACGGTACACTTGAATTAAAATATTGCCCATATTTACCCTACGTCATAACAATTCATCGCTGTCTTTATACACCGATAAAGCACCATCTACAGCACTGTAAAAATACTGTTATAACGAGTTCAGTCGTGGTCGACGTTCGCTCCAGGACGAATGCCGCGAAGGTCGTCCCAAATCCGTTGATGTTACAGAAAATATCGATGGTGTGCGTGAACTGATAAAACAGAATTGGCATGTGAAATACCGTGAGATTTAGGCATCCTGGGCATTAGTATGAACATTTGGCCGTCAAAAAGATTTGTTCGCGTTGCATCCCGCATTATCTGACAAAAGCTGAAAAGAAGGCTCGTGTCGATGGGCGCAAGGAAATGTTGGAAAAATACGTTCAAGGTGCATCAAAGGCTGTGTATAACATCTACACGGGTGACGAATTATGGATCTATTCACATGAGACCGAACCAAAACAGCAGTCGACTGTATGGTTCCAAGACGTGCCAAATGCAACAAAAGTTGTTCGCGGAAGAAGCACATCGAAGCAAATGATTGCCTGTTTCTTCGGCAATACCGGTCATGTGGCTATAGTGGCGTTACAGCAGCGCAGGACGGTCAATTCCGAATGGTACACGACCGTTGTTTACCAGAAGTCATCGCAGAAATTCGAAAAAAGTAGAAGAGGCGAATCATTCTTCATCATGGACAATGCAAGCTCTCACACACCGGCGCAAATGAAGGAATTTGTGTCGGGCCAAAACATCAAATTGATGCGTCATCCGCCGTACAGCCCTGATTTGACACCCAGTGACTTTTTCTCATTCCCGCACATCAAAAATAAATTACGTGTCAGCTATCTGCGACACCCGAAGAAGCGGTTGATGCATTCGAAATGTTTTGGAGTTACCTCAATCGGAATGGAAAAAGTGTTTCGAAAATTGGTTCAAACAAATATACCTTAAAATAAATTTTAAAGTACATCAATATGTTATAGGTACTTTATGTAAAAAAAGTTAAAGAAAAGCATTGGATTTACAAATTTTAACATAAAATTAATGTAATTTACCCATTAATAACATTAACTCGTGCTCCACATGTGTCACTCTACTTTTGCCTTATATTCAGTGATAGAGGGATTCCTTGCATTTTTTTAGCACAAGCTGTCGAAGACTATCTCTACTGATGTTATCTGCAATCGCATTTCATATTCTGCATTTAATTTGTTTTTATATATATATACCCGTATAAATTGTTTTTGGTTGTCACATACGTTGAAAGAGATTTTTCACTGAAGTACGTTGTTCCGAATGGCATTAAAATGTTTACAGCTGTGTGCAGGGGCGTAGCTAGAGTTTCCAACGCCCGGGGACAACTAAAGAATTTGCGCCCCTTTCTGTGTGTTAAGAATGGTAAACATTTCATTAAAAAATTTCGTAGCATCAATTTGGCGCCCCTTGGATGCTGCGCCCGAGGACAGGTGTCCCCCTTGCCCCACCCTAGCTACGCCCCTGGCTGTGTGATAAACTTCTAGGTATTCTGCATGAACCTACATCCAAACATTTAGGAGCTGCTCTTACTTAAAGTTAGATTTTAACGTCGAAATTGTACATATATATGTAGATAGGTTGTTCCTTCACTAGCAGGTTTTCTGATTTATCGTAGTACTCGAACGGATTTTTATCCAGTCAGACTTAGTTTTTTATTATGGTAAATATTCATCTATATTTTCTTTGACTGAAAAAAAAAAGGCTCCGTTATATAATTTTTAATACTGTCGTTTAAATTAGTTTTCCATTAGAAAATTATTTAAGCTCCGCAAAACATTGCACATCATTGTCTTTGACTGATGATGACCACGTGCTGTTTTTAAAACTCATCTCAGCTAAATGTATTGTCATATTTTAAATTAATAAACATTAGTAAACTAATGCGAGGCCTTTATAATTCCTTTTCCAGTTTATATTTTCACTCGCAGAACACCGGGTATAACGCAATTTAAAAACAACTTGCTTCAAAGCACGGTATTCAAAATTTAATGAGAATGCTCTGTGGTAAGTGCTGCCATCTGTTAATAAAGGTTTGAAGTTTTCCAGTGACAAGAAAGGAGTTTTATTCGTTTATTTCAAAACTCAGTAACTTTAAATAATTGAAGCAAACGATTTCCGATATTTATCGAACACAAATCTAAATATTTTTTTCATTTCAACTTCGAAAGTAAAAACATTTTATAGGAACTGTGGTCTTTTATTAATATCTAGCAAATTTGACAAACTACACGTACACGGTTTTACTTCATAATTACATCATAGTTAAAAATTTGGAATCCAAAGAAAACTTCCGCTTTTTCTGCTACCTCTGTTTTCTTATTTTCCAAAGACATCTGAATTTCCCCAACCATCACCAAAGCTATATTCGCTTTATTTACTCCTGGAGGGTAGTGTAATGTAGTTAATCCCAAGAACTCGAATGTCAGAACTTGTCCTTTTTGTCTTTCCTTTTCTTTTTTTTAAAGCAAATGAATTTTTTTACCATTAAAATACGAAATAAAAAAAAATTTAACTAAATTTTTAAATCTCCCTTACTAAATATTTGCCAAACATACGTAAACAGTAAAAATAACAATGCAAAGAAAAAGATATGGAAGACATACTATATGTATTCCAAATTAAAGGTACTGTTCTTAGTGCGAAAATTCGCACTGAGCGTATTTTTTTTTTGAAAAGTGCGAATAAAATTAACTTTTAATAAAATCTATGTCTTCAGATCTTTGAATAAGATTTATTAAATATATTAAAAATTGTAATTAACTAAATGTGCATTTTCTTGTGCGTTATTCACGCTTAAACTGGACTTCAAACAATTAAGTTTTTGGAATCTTTGCAACGAATTCATAATTCAAATATATTCTTGAGCCACACAAAATTACTTCGGGAGACCACTCATGTAATATTTCGAATTGCCAAGCAAGATCAACATCTTGCAAATATAAATTGAAAAATCTTGAAGCAAATATTACCATTGCGCTAAACGTAAGACATCATTGTCAAACTGATTTTCATGGTATTACCGTTTGGTAAGTATAAGGTCTTTATATCTATGCTTCATATTTATCCAGTCTGATACTAATCAGTAAAAACGAATGAGTTAAGCAGTGTGTTGGCATTGCGTGAAAAAAAAAAAAGCTGTCTAATTAATTATGTTCACAGCGCCAGTGCTCATAACATATTCGCAAAGTGTTATAATTCGGCAAAGTATAAATGAGAAAGTTATGTTTCATATTTCATTCCTCTTTTATTGAACAACGAGTTGCAAAAAGAAATTTTAAATGGATTCAGAAGAGTTTTTTTTTGGGGGGGGCGTCTTCACGTATGTATGTATGTATCTCGCATAACTCAAAAACGAGTAGCCTCAGAACGTTGAAATTTTGTATATATAGGAAAGCTATAGGATGTAGTTGTGCACCTCCCCTTTTGGTGGTAATCGACCGCACCAAAAGTAAATAAATATATATATGCATATACCCACTCTGTTACTCGGCTCCGTGAGCTCAGTTTTCTTTATTCTTATATGTTGGTAAATTGTGAATTTTTTGCTTTAAAAAAAATTGAATTATGTTGTTCTTATCTTCAGGTTTAGGGTTTTATGCCTTTAGTTAATCTGTATGCAATCTGCAGTTGTAGAATTATCAACAATTTAAAAGTCGTTCAAGGGCGACTAAGCGTAAATTTTTACCATACCCAACCATATTTGT